CATCAGGGGCATTGATGTCCACTTTTGGGCCCTTGATGTCAACTTCTGGGCCCTTGAGATCGCCTTCCACTTTAGGAAGGGAAACATCCACATCGCCCTTCATTTTGGGGCCTTTCAGGTTTAAGTCAAAGTCAGGCATGGAGATCTTGGGGGCTTTGATGTTCATCTCAGGCATCTTGAACTTGGGGCCCTTCAGTTTCGCATCTGGACCTTCGAAATTCACATCTGGAACATCAATGTCCACCTTGGGTCCCGAAACACCAATGTCAGCCTTGGGCAGGTTCACATCCACTTCTGGGCCCTCTCCTTTGAAGCCAGGCATGCTGAACTTGGGCATTTTCACTTTGGGCATTTTTAGGTGCCAGTCTGGGCCTTGAACATCCACATCTGGGACATCAACGTCCACTTTGGGGCCTTTGATGTCAACTTCGGGGCCCTTGAGGTCGCCTTCCACTTTGGGCAGAGAAATGTCCACATCGCCCTTTACCTTTGGACCTTTCAGATTCAGGTCAACTTCCGGCATAGAGATCTTCGGTGCCTTGAGGTGCAGGTCAGGCATTTTAAATTTGGGGCCCTTCAGTTTCCCTTCTGGACCATGAATGTCAATATCAGGAGTGTCAATGTTCACTTTAGGGCCTTTGACATCCACTTGGGGACCTTTCAGATCTCCTTCCAGTTTAGGAACGGAAATGTCCATATCTCCTTTTATCTTAGGTCCTTTCAAATTCAAATCAATGTCACTCATGGAGATTTGTGGGGTTTTGAAATGAACATCAGGCATCTTAAACTTGGGACCTTTGAGCTTCCCTTCAGGACCTTCGATGTCTACCTCTGGCCCTTTCAGATCACCTTCCAGCTTAGGTAGTGAAACATCCACATCGCCCTTTGCTTTTGGACCTTTCAGATGCAAGTCAAAATCAGGCATGGAGATCTTGGGGGCTTTGATGTTCATCTCAGGCATCTTAAATTTGGGCCCCTTCAGTTTTCCTTCCGGACCTTCAATATTGACATCAGGGGTGTCCATGTCCAAACTGGGGCCTTTTATGTCAATTTCAGGGCCCTTGAGATCACCTTCCACTTTGGGTAGAGAGACACCCACATCACCCTTCACTTTGGGGCCCTTCAAGTTAAAGTCAAGGTCAGGCATGGAGATCTTCGGGGCCTTGATGTTCATCTCTGGCATCTTGAACTTTGGGCCCTTCAGTTTTGCATCTGGACCTTCAATACTGACATCAGGGGCATCAATGTCCACTTTGGGGGCAGAGATGTCAATATCAGCCTTGGGCAGGTTCACATCCACATCTGGGCCCTCCCCTTTGAATCCTGGCATGCTGAACTTGGGCATTTTCACCTTGGGCATCTTCAGGTGCCAGTCTGGGCCTTGAACATCCACATCAGGGGCGTCGATGTCCACTTTGGGGCCCTTGATGTCAACTTCTGGGCCCTTGAGGTCGCCTTCCACTTTAGGAAGGGAAACATCCACATCGCCCTTCACTTTGGGGCCTTTCAGATGCAAATCAAAGTCAGGCATGGAGATCTTGGGGGCTTTGATGTTCATCTCAGGCATCTTGAACTTAGGGCCCTTCAGTTTCGCATCTGGACCTTCGATATTCACATCTGGAACATCAATGTCCACCTTGGGTCCTGAGACGTCAAGGTCAGCCTTGGGCAGGTTCACATCCACTTCTGGGCCCTCTCCTTTAAAACCAGGCATGCTGAACTTGGGCATTTTCACTTTGGGCATTTTTAGGTGCCAGTCTGGGCCTTGAACATCCACATCTGGGACATCAACGTCCACTTTGGGGCCCTTGATGTCAACTTCGGGGCCCTTGAAGTCACCTTCCACTTTGGGCAGAGAAACGTCCACATCACCCTTCACCTTTGGACCTTTCAGATTCAGGTCAACTTCCGGCATAGAGATCTTTGGTGCCTTGAGGTGCAGGTCAGGCATTTTAAATTTGGGGCCCTTCAGTTTCCCTTCTGGACCATGAATGTCAATATCAGGAGTGTCAATGTCCACTTTGGGTCCTGAGACATCAATGTCAGCTTTGGGCAAATTAACATCCACTTCTGGGCCCTCTCCTTTAAATCCTGGCATGCTGAATTTGGGCATTTTCACCTTGGGCATCTTCAGGTGCCAGTCTGGACCATGAACATCCACATCTGGGGCATCAATGTCCACTTTGGGGCCCTTGATGTCAACTTCAGGGGCCTTTAGATCACCTTCCATCTTAGGCAGAGAAACATCCACATCTCCTTTCACCTTAGGGCCTTTCAAATGCAAATCAAAATCAGGCATGGAGATCTTGGGAGCTTTGATGTTCATCTCTGGCATCTTGAATTTAGGGCCCTTCAGTTTCGCATCTGGACCTTCGATATTCACATCTGGAACATCAATGTCCACCTTGGGCCCTGAGATGTCAATGTCAGCCTTGGGCAGGTTCACATCCACTTCTGGACCTTCTCCTTTGAAGCCAGGCATGCTGATCTTCGGCATTTTTATCTTAGGCATCTTCAGGTGCCAGTCTGGGCCTTGAACGTCCACATCTGGGGCATCAATGTCCACTTTGGGGCCTTTGATGTCAACTTCAGGACCCTTAAGGTCGCCTTCCACTTTGGGAAGGGAAACATCCACGTCACTTTTCACCTTGGGGCCCTTCAAGTTGAAGTCAAGGTCAGGCATGGAGATCTTCGGGGCCTTGATGTTCATCTCTGGCATCTTGAATTTAGGGCCCTTCAGCTTTGCATCCGGACCTTCAATATTCACATCTGGAACATCAATGTCCACCTTGGGTCCTGAGATGTCAAGGTCAGCCTTGGGCAGGTTCACATCCACTTCTGGGCCCTCTCCTTTGAAGCCAGGCATGCTGAACTTGGGCATTTTCACTTTGGGCATCTTCAGATGCCAGTCTGGACCATGAACATCCACATCTGGGGCACTGATGTCCACTTTAGGGCCTTTGATATCAACCTCTGGCCCTTTCAGATCCCCTTCAAGTTTGGGAAGAGAAACATCCACATCACCTTTCACCTTGGGGCCCTTCAAGTTGAAGTCAAGGTCAGGCATGGAGATCTTGGGAGCTTTGACATTCATGTCAGGCATCTTGAATTTGGGGCCTTTCAAGCCTCCCTCTGGACCTTCCACATTGAGTTCTGGGCCCTCAATGTTCATACTTGGGCCCTCTATGTTGATGTCTCCTTTTGGCAGATCCAAAGCTACATCTGGCCCTTCTGCTTTTAAGCCAGGCACACTGAATTTGGGCATTTTCATCTTGGGCATTTTCAGATTCCAGTCTGGACCATGAACATCCACCTCAGGTGCATTTAGATTGCCTTCTGGTCCCTTAATATCCACTTTGGGGCCTTTCAAGTCACCCTCTAAATTGGGACCTGCAACATCTAAGTCTCCTTTGACTTTAGGACCTTTCAAATTTAGCTCCACATCAGGCACAGAAACTTTGGGAGATGAAATACTCAGGAAAGGCATTTTAAACTTGGATCCTTTCACTTTTCCTTGGACCTCGACATCAGGAGCATTAATATCAACTTTTGGACCTGTTATGTCAATATCTGGCTTTTTACCTTTGACATCCACCTCAGGTGTCTGAACTTTGGAGCCTGAAAAATTAAATTTGGGAAGCTTAAAACGAGATTTCTTTGACTTGCCTTCAATATTAAGCTTAGGACCAGAAACGTCCACTTCTGGGCCCTTTATATCCAAACCGGGAGCTTTAATGTCACCTTCCAACTTGGGCCCAGAGACATCGACATCTCCTTTAAGCTTTGAGCCTTTCAAATTCAAGTCAATTTCTGGCATGGAGATCTTAGGCATGTTTACATGCATGTCAGGCATCTTCAGTTTTGGACCTTTTAATTTGGCTTCTGGGCCATGAATGTCAATATCTGGAGCATCTACATCTATCTTTGGGCCTTTTATGTCAAGAGCAGGTCCTTTCAAATCACCTTCTACATTTGGAAGTGAAACATCCACCTCTCCTTTCATCTTAGGGCCTTTAAGATTGAGGTCTAAATCAGGCATTGATATTTTAGGAGCTTTGATGTTCATCTCTGGCATCTTGAATTTAGGGCCCTTCAGTTTCGCATCTGGACCTTCAATATTCACATCTGGAACATCAATGTCCACCTTGGGTCCTGAGATGTCAATGTCAGCCTTGGGCAGGTTCACATCCACTTCTGGACCTTCTCCTTTGAAGCCGGGCATGCTGATCTTCGGCATTTTTATCTTAGGCATCTTCAGGTGCCAGTCTGGGCCTTGAACGTCCACATCTGGGGCATCAATGTCCACTTTGGGTCCCTTCATCATCCACATCAAGGAACTTTCACAAATCACCTTCCTCACTTTGGGCAAGAGACACATCACATCACCCTTCAACCTTCGGGTGCCTTTCAGGTGAAAGATCAATGTCAGGCATGGAGATCTTGGGGCTCTTGATATCATCGCTCAGGC